TCTCGCGCATCTTCTTTAAAAACGCTCCCCGCTGCTGTTAAACAGAGCCGCTGCTCTTAGCTGTCTGTCAGATTATACCAATAAAGTGCTTGCACTGTTTGACAACACAAAAACAATGATAAATCGAATGATTTTTGGCCAGTTACAAAATCCACCAACAGCCTCGTCAGCAGATAAGAAACGACTTGTGTCCTTTAGTCTTTTGAGTAAATAAGATTTTGTGCACAACTCATTTGCTGTGCATAAATTGTCTCTATATTAACACAATATCTACAGTATATAATATCGCAAACTTTTTGACTCCAAGGCTTTCTCACTGTCCATAACAATATTCAAAGGTTGCTTGAGGTTTCCAGTTGTTTGTGAGTTACTGGAATATATATATATTTATTTTTTTATTTTTTTTACTAACAATTTCTACCCGAACTAGTGTAAAATAAAAGAAATATTTTTTTAAGTTGTATATAAAGCAAATATTAAAAGAAAACAATTCAGCTGCTGAAAATTTTGCTTTGCATCTCAAGAATATATATATAGTCTGTGCAGTGAAAATTCATCTATTTTCTCATTAAATTAAAAAAATATGTTTATGTTTTTCACTAAATTCAAAAATATATTTTGGGAACGTTTTATAAGAAATTACATTTTACAAGAAATTAATTTCAATCTTTCTTTTTAAGTTTAAATTCAGTGTGGCACTTGTTTTTTTGTAATTATATGTGGAAAATACATTTATAGAAAATGTATATTCAGTGCAAAAGAATATTCATTTTAAGAAAATCAAACAGTGCTCTCAGATCACACACACATGAGTCAATAAGATAAACACTACAGAGCATTCATTAGACACTACAGAGAAAAATGGAGAACACAGCATCCATAACATTACAGGAAAAAAAGTATATTCTATTGAGTAAACAATTTAGCAATTCTGTAAAAAAGCATAGTAATTGCAACTGAGTAAGGTTAATATATTGTATAGGCCTACTGTATGTACTGCAAGAATAGTATTGTGCTGAATATTGAATAGTACTAAATGTTTGAATATATTCAGCGCTTGGATACTACAAAAATACTGCAGTCCAACTGCAAAGGCCAAAAAGCTAAAATAAAACCCTAAATGAATAGCATGTTACAGTACACTCAAATACTGTTCAGGTGTGAACAATTTTGAATGGTTGTGTGTAAACGATGACAGCTGTGCTTTAGTTGTGTTTAACTTTTGCAGCACAAATGCATCACAGTGTGAGAAGTGTTTAAGTGAATGAGAATGTGTTTAGAGTTTTGCAAATAGAGCCTAACTGCCTGAACGTGTTTAAGGTTTAGCAGAAAGAGTGCTTTATTTGACAGACTGGTTTAAGCTAGTGAGGATTTGGTTCAGAGATTGGGGTTTAGTGTTTTAGCAATTCAGAAAAAAGGGGGGGCAAAAATGAGTTGTGCCTATGTCAGGATAAGAGGTCAATCCGGCCCTGCGTCTGTGTTTCAGATGGTTTGTGATGCTGCGAGGCTCTGCAGCTGTGTGTTCTTCCTCTCTTCACCACACGGTGGCACTACAGACCGTCAGATTTGTGGATGCTGTTCACTGCGCTGACTGATGTACTGTGCATCTGTGAACTTTGTACACTACATTGCAATGCTCTCCACCTGCTCGGACTGATAAACGTCGTTTTTTTTACACAAAAGTGATAGATGACATAATATTCAGTGTTAACTAAAATTAAAACCATACAATTAAAACAATTTTTGTTACTGAAATAAAATTTTATAACAAAATATATAATAAAACTTGTTTGATTTCTGCTAGTTGCCGAGGAAATATTTCTCATTTTCATTTATTGTAACTTGATGTACTAAAATAAATAAAACTAAAATAAAAAACGATTAGATTTTTTTTTTTTTTTAAAGTTCAAAAACACAACAAAATCACTAAAACTCCAACTAGAAGTAAAATGAAAATGGAAAAAAAAACACGTATTCAAAGTATTAATAAAAAGTACAGTTGTATCTAAAATATCACTGGTGTAAACTGCGCAGGACTTTAACTTTCATACATTTTTTTAATGTAAATGAGAATTGTTTCATCATGAGATTTTCCTCCACTTTCAGTTGATTTACTTCAATCAAAGATTAGAATTTTGTGAATTTTTTGAATGAAACAAAAGATAAACGATGCAGATGTATGTTCAGAGGATATATCATCCAGCAGTATTATAGTCTAAACACTGTGTATAAACTCTAATATTTGGTGTAGGATTTACTTTTAAACAATGTTCACTAAGAAATAGCTGGAATGATAAACCGTGTGTTGGGTCATTTTAAAGAAATAGAAAATAACGGACTGTTATCTGACATGTTTGTTGTTTTGTCAATAGAGATATGAATGTAATAGAGATATGAAGCTTCTTTTGCCTTTGACAGGATCTCATCAGTGATGAAGCTGCGGATGAATGAATCTGATTCAAACACGTGTAAAAAACAGAAAAAAGCATAGATTAATCTAATTAACCACACTTCAGTTTTGCCTGAAATCCATTGAATAGACATTACAAAAAAGTAACTTTAGAAAGAAATATTTTGATGTATAACAATGCATAAATGTGAGTCACTGAATCTTTCATGCAACCAATTTGTTCGAACGGCTGATTCACTTAGAAACGAAGCAAGTGACTCTTGATGAACGAGTCACTGAATCAATGACTCGCTCGATTTGTTCAGTAATGAATCACTGCTGTTTGTTGATCACAACAGATGCACAACAGTTCTGCTGCGACTTTAATGATTTCCTTTGAGCAAAACAATATTGGGTCTTAAATTGTTACACGATATGAACTTGATTATTGAACTGTTGTAGACAATCACATTTGCTGTCATGCAGATATTGAGGAGACAGCACTCTTGCTAAACTTTCGTCTTGTTTTCTGGCACAAATGTCTAAGTATTCTTAAATCAACATGCATTTACTTGAGAAGCAAAATTACATCAGATATTAAGCACTGTTAAACAAAAAAAGTTATCAAAACTGAGTGAGTTTATGTTAAATCAAGAAAAAAAAGAGGTCTGAAAAATAAATGTAAAATACATAAATAAAAATACATAAAGGGAAAATAAGTTTTGTTTTTCTGGCAGATGGTTGTTCGTGTTTCAAGCATAAAATCGCTTAATTTTGATATGTTTTTCCAGAAAACAAGACTTCCACATATTTATTTTTATTATTTAATTAAAATTTAAAAAATATTAAAAATAAAAATGAAACACTAAAAATATAATTACAATTAAATTTACTAAAATAAACATAAAAATAATTTATATTCTTTGAACTTTATTCAAAGTTACATACTAGTAAAAAATGTATAGCCTGAATGCACTGTAAGTCTGC